CTTGGCCACCAACAGATGATGCTAAGCAAGTCAAAGAACAAAATAGACGGAATAAGGAATCATATAAAAGACATTGCTAGGGTAATGATAACCTCACAACTCTAACAAATGCAAAGGAACAGCCTAATGATACAATTTCTTTCTGTTGAGTTAGATAAAAGTCAATCGATTGAAATATGGTGTTAAAAATAGTAAAACAAAAGGGAATACAACTACATTTAGCGTATTATATTTCCTTAAAGAAGTGTCATGTCATCAGTCCTCAATTTGCGAAAATTTTCAATTCTCTGGGTTTCTTTACTCTGGACTTCCTCTTTATAATACCGTTTATTTTCAGTCAAAGCACACTCATCAAAAGCATCAGATTAGAGCAAAATTTTGTTCAGGTTGATGGCAGAAAATAACCACACCAAATAAGTTGGTCAATCCATACATCGACACAAACTTCCAATCAAGAAACATACAGGTCGTAATATAATCAAATGATTAGTCTCCAAAGATCAGCAATGTGAACAAATGAAGGAAAAAACGTGCAAGGCACCAGCACGCAAGGTACATTTTCAGACTACTGAAAATGCAGCAAAATGGTACATAATAAATATTACATATGAACCAAATCATGCAGTCTTAACAAAAAAAACCTTTCATTACCTCTATTCAGACAGTCAAGTGCTTTACCCTTTTTACCAGGAAGTATACCTTTTTAGACATGACATATAGCTAACTGCATATACTTCACAAACTTAATATCAATGAAATGCACCCTTCAGTTTTAGCCATCACAAGAGAGATTCCACCATCAATACTTAGCCCGTATATTTGGTGTGTGCACAAAATCGTAAATACACACTCGCACACATACACAAACACACACAAAACACACTTATAAGCAAAATCTTCAAAAATTTCGTGTACGAATTTGAGATCATCAACCAATTCTAGGAAAAACAACACTTCCATAGTATTACAGGCATTCCGAGAGCGAGAGCAAAAATATCCAGAACATCATAATAAGCTCACGAACAATAATACGATAATGAACGAATAACATCAAAATCCAACATCACAATTTTAAAAGCTCACAGGCAATAATATGATAATGAATGGAAATCCAAAAGCATCACAATCTACCAAGCTTACAAGCAATATTATGATATGAACGAATAACATCAAAATCGAACATCACAATCTAACAAGCTCACATGCAAGAGTACGATTTGGATAAATAACATCAAAATCGAACAATATCACAATGTAATAAGCTCACAAGCAAGAAAAAAATACGAATAAAAACGAATCTGAAAACAAAAATGAGCTTCGTACCAGAAAATGAAAAATTAACTTCAAATGCTTTCGATCCGTAGAACCTGCAAGGATTGAAAAGCCAGAAAATGGTTCAATAGCTTTTAACAGTACGTTCGGCGTGTGTGTGTGTGTGTGTGCGCGCGAGTGCGTGCGATAGATTGCTTACCTAGAGACTCCGATCGATGGACGGTGAGAAATGAAAGAAGAAGAGCAAAATGAAAATAAAATAATAAAGAAATAATTAGAAATAAAAGTAAAAGTAAACAATAGGCCGAAGAGAGAATTTATTCGTACAGACTAGGTTATGGATACATAGAGTCCCATTGCGGAATTATTCTGTCGAGATTTATAACCCTTAAATTATGATGTAATCGTCGTGGATAGTTGATCTAACAGTTACAAACTAATTTCATAATGGGACTGTAGAATTTTTCGTAAAATATTTTATTATAACTTTTGAACTTGAAATTTTGTAAACTTTTTCAGAAACATAAATAAATATATAGTAGTAGTACATACTTCATATTTAGAATTCTTACAAAAGTATATTACATTACAATATTAATTGAGAATTTTATACTTGAAAATAAAAAAATATAAGTTGTTATCTTGAATTTTTAAATACTTATTTAAATTTATATATTTTTTTTATTTCAAACGACACTCGTCACGGCTTCGAACTTTCCACATTATAATATCTTTATTCATATCACATAACATATAATTATTTAATCAGTAAAGAATTATGTTATTTTTTCATTATGAACGGCCAAATTTTTTAATTTTGTTTCATGATTGTGTATGTATAGTTTTTTATATATGCAATATGAATGTAAAATCGAATACAGTAAAAAAAACTAATTAATTTTATACATGAAAAATTGATAACAAATATAAAAAATAAAATCTTAAAAAACAACCATTAACTGATATACATATAACTGCGAATCACCCACTGACTGAATGACATTCACCAAAAATTACAAAACATCAATCCACATTTAAATCCATAAAACTCTATATTTACATTTAAATAATATTTAAAAAAATTAATTTAATAGTATATTATAGGGTTCATATTTAGGTATTTAATAAATGGGGATATTATTTAATTTTACTTTATCATGGATATGTTTCCACATGCAAACAAGTTACAAATAGCATGTTGCAACTTAATAAACCTTGCATCTCCTCATTCAAATCTCAAAGATATGATTCCAAATGCAAACAAATTTCAAATAGCATTTTGCAACTTTAGAAACCTTGCATCTCCTCATTTCCATCAGCTCTTAGGTCATTTAATACCACCAAACTTTCAGACCGATCAATCGAATGATTGAGGTTTTCGGGCTGTTCAAACTATAGTTCCTCATGTGCTCTTAAACACGATCATAGGTAAATGATAGTTAATTGTTATGTAATTTATTAAAAGTCGCTATGCGTGATGTTAGAAAATGCTATACGAAACATCAGTTAAAATTGATCGACGATCAAGGAGATGCCTAAGCATGCTAAAAGTTTAGTTTGATAATGATTGCTTGTGTCAACATTTTTATATGTGTGTGTATTTTATTTGATTTTTCTGTTGGCATGCTTAACTATAAATGTTGAGTCCACATATATTGAATTGTCTTTAATTCAGTTACATCGAACATGATTTAAGCTCAATGGCTAGAATTATTGAAATTTTAAAAAGTCATGTATAATAATATGTCAAGTTAAGACTTGTTCACTTCAAAATTCAGGCATATTTAACTTATACTTTTTAGAACTTTTAAAAGTCTCTGTGTATTTATTTGAAAAAAAAATAACAATTGAGACTGATATTTGTTAGGACTTTATAAAATTTGAGATTTCAAAATAAAAAAAACATATATAGCATCATACACCAATTCTCGCTCCAAATTTTTTTCCTAAATTTAGAGATTTCAAGAAGTCTTAAATTAAAACATATATATATATATATATATATATATATATATATATTAAATTG